TCCACGATTGAATTTTTTGTAATCCATGATCGAACTGTTTTTTTCTTTTTTTGTAATCCACGATTGAATTTTTTGTTTTTTTTTGTTTGTTTTTTTTTGTAATCCATGATCGAATTTTATGTAATCCATGATCGAATTTTATGTAATCCATGATCGAATTTTATGTAATCCATGATTGAATTTTTCGAAAATTTGTGATTTTTTTATTTTAATCCATGATCGAATTTTTTTCTGTAATCCATGATAGAATTTTTTGAAAATTTGTGATTTTTTTTTTAATCCATGATCGATTTTTTTGAAAATTTGTTAATTTTTTTTTTTAATCCATATTATTCAAAGAGAAAATGAGAGAGATGATGATTCTGAAGCCACCCTATCCCAGCCATATTATTCACATATCGAGTCCCAACAGCAACAGTGTAGGGATGAGCACGAAATACTGTAAATTAAATGCTGAATGGCGGTTCATGCAAAGAAAGAACATATCAATATTAGCATATTCATTCAAAAACATGAAAATTCTTAATGGAGTACCCTCATTTTTTATTGAATTCCTAAAAAACAATATTTATAATGAATTTTAATAATTTTTTCGAATTTTTTTTAAGCTTTATTCTGACCGATTCACCCGATTCCCGATCCGAATCGCCGATCCGGATCGGTTTTTTGGAAGCCTGATCCGGATCACCGATCCGTTTTTTAAACCATTGGTTAAGAGTAAATATAGAGCCGGTCTACTTTTTCAACACATGCTAACCTTTATCTTACATTATACATTTTATGTGATATAGAGTGTTGAATATGTATTTTTATATTTAAAATAAATCATTTGTTACTAAAAAAAAAAAAAGGAAAATTTTTATAAACATTTTTTATGCCATTTAGAATATGTCATGCAACTTTTACATTTTATATCCATGTCCTATTTTCTCCCATTCTTTCCATTTTTTCTAAAAATCTCAAATAGTTGGGAAAAAGGGATGATCCTCATCCCTTTTTCTCCCATTCTTTTCATTTCTCAAAATTCATTAAGGTCGGCACCCCAATTAACGAGCCGACCTGACATGCAGTGCTGGTCCGCACTTTGTTTTGCCACCAGATGGGTGAAATAGTGAGACTAAACAGAGAGAAAGAATAAATAAATTGATATGCTGTGTACTCAATTATCAAGGCTCGAACATGAGCTCCATATGCGAACCCGCACTCTAGAGCCTTCAGCAAATCCTGCGTACGAGTAAGCACTCCATTTTGGACAAAGTAAAAAAGGACAAGAGAATAAAACGTGAAAATTATATTTAAATTGAAAAAAAAAAACGTTTTTTAAAGTTTCCCTTAAAGTTGCAGGAATCATTGCGGGATCACAATATGTTTCATGAGCTCCCAAGTCCCAACTCCGCCGATCAAATTTAACACCTCATCCAAAGGATCTCGCGCTTTTACCTTTAGCGTTTCAGCATCATTTATGATCCCTAGTGAGCACAGTATGCGCAAGGCGTTCTCTCTCTCTTTGCCATGAGAGAGCATATGGTGTAGAGCACCTTAGGATCGTCCGATATCCGTCCATGAAAAATGGACATTGGAAAGTTTATGGTTTTTTTGTGGAAACATTTACTAGTTTCCATTAAATAAAACACAATAACAACAAATTACAAAGGCGGATCGTTGATTTGCACCATTTCTAGGAAGACCATCAGCATAATATTTAAATATATATTTTTAGCTGTAATATTTAAAGGGTCTGGTTTCTACAAGGTTGCAACTTTAAACAATAATCCAAGCTGCACCTCCAAATTTTATCAGAATATGTAATGTTGGTGTTAAAAAGTATTAGGATTATCTTAAAATCTATTTTCATATCTAATTATAAAATTTTAACCTCCAAAAATGGTTAAAATCAAGTAGATTTATAAACATATGAAAAACTTGAAAATGAACGGTCGAGAAAATGTTTTGCAAGATGCACTATTTTTTAAACTCAAAATCTTTTTTTTTTTATTTTTTATTTTCATACATCTCGATATCAAGATGATCAATTAGAGGATTTGTAAACATAAAACAACATTTTCAAATGGATTTTTGAGGCGTATATGGAATTCTATATTTTAAGGTTGCAACCTTATAAGGAAAAAGTTTATATAACGTTGCAACCTTAAAATGTAGAATTAAGGGTGCAACTTAAAAATCCCTCAAAAAAAGGTGTTGAAAAAACCTCTAATTGATCATCTCAACATCGAGATGTATGAAAATGAAAAAAATAAGATTTTGAGTCCCAAAAATAGTGCATCTTGCAATAAATTATCTAGACCGTCTATTTTCAAGATTTTTATATGCTTATATAGCTATTTGGTTTTTGACCATTTTTCAAATTTAAAATTTTATAATTAGATATGAAAATAGATTTTGAAATAATTATCCATACCCAGATAAACAAATGAACATAACTTCCAAGCCTTCACTAAAGAGTAATCTCATCCCTACTTCTATCTTCAAAAACAACAGCTTATATAGAGATCTCACTCTGTGATGTCCATCATAGAAACCTGCGATTAATCTCCATTAGGGTTCTCAAAGGGTCAGGTGGTCCAGTCTGATGCAGTTGGTCAGGCTATGTGGGCCACAAAATGTAGCCCGAGGGCTGGGCTGGGTCGAGGTTAGGCTAAGACAAAGGCAAAGCTCCCCCAACGGAGCTATAGGGACCAGGTCTGGGCCGGCTCATTGACAAACCAAAAATCTCCATGATTTGTCATTTGGGAACCGATGGGAGACACGGGCTACCACTTACCACACCCCTGGTTATGGGGTGCTTAAACTCCTTTCTCCTACAAGTAACTCCTTAAATGGTACATGAGCATGGGCGAGGACTGAAAACTCTCTCTCTCATACACACCTCTTACTCATCGCTCTAACTTTCAACTTTTCCCTTAGCTTTCACCTCCTTTCCTATCTTTTTTGTTGCTTTAAAGTTAAAAACTTCCGCAATGAAGACCAGCCTTAATATTTTTTGGTTAATCATCAAAGCTTTATCTTATTAGTGCACTAAATTTGATCTCATTGGTACAATATAAATCTCTCTCTC